CCGCCCGTGCACGACTCGCTGGATCTGCCTCCTCCGCCGCCGTCCGTTGCTCCGTGCTCCCACGCCGCCATGGATATTTGTAGATGTGGAGCTGCCCGTTCTCTGTGGTGCACCCGTTCTCCAGCGTCTGCGCGCCGCGTCATCTCTGCGCCCGTCTCGGACTGAGCGAAGGCGCGTCGGCGCTCGCGAACTCGCGGCGCGGGCGCTCGCGCGAGGGCACGCTGTGGGGCCCACGAATGATGCATTTCTGTAGAGTGTAACAGATGACGGGCCGCAGTAAATTGTGTAGCGAAGGTTTGATAATTGTGTGCGCATGCGTTGCTTGGCGTAAGTGCATGTGCGCGATTGCGTAGATTGTGGCGATGTCGTAGATGTTCGAATAGCTTCCTTCGGTTGCCAAAGGCGACCTTGCAAGGCTCCCCGTTGAGGTCCATGGGGCGCCGGAATGGCGACTCGACCTCGCCATGTTACCAGGGTGTTTCAAGGGTCCTAGCGGGGGGGGGGGGGGGGGCAAAACCGAGGGGGGGGTGCAAACCGAAAAAACCGGGCTTCGGAGTTCCGTTGCAGCCGCCATCTGGAAATCCTGGGGCCCTTGGATCTCTCAATGAACGCAGGTCGTTGGCGGTGCGGGAGAAGCCCGGCGACTCGATCTAGACCCGGTGGCGCCTGTCTTGCTCGCGGCGAGGAGCGGGTTGTAGGTCGGCCGTCGCCAGCTCCAGCGAAGAGAAAGGCCAATTTCCAATGCGGTAGCACCTCATTGTTGGATGATGCTGTCACGCGCAATCCACCCCGAGAGGTCGCCTCGCCTAGCGTCGCGATGCGCCCGAGACGCGCCGGACATTCATCCGGGATAGTCCAGGATAGTAGAGCCGGTCTCCTAGGGCGCGAGACTCTCTGGCCTACTCAGTACGGCATTATGAGCGAACCTGATGAAGAGGCCGCGTTTCCATTTGTTCGGGCCCCCGGACTCCAGGCCCTGCCCGAGGAGGGGAAACCAGAAAGAGCCGCGCTGCGCCTCCTGGAGATCTCAGCCCTGGCCGAAACGCTCAACTGCAGGTGAGGCCCCAGGCGCCTCGCTCCTTCCTTGGTGTGGGCCCATGAGGTGCGAGGGGTCTCGTCGGAGCATCTGTCGACGCTGGTCGCCGCGAGCTGCGAAGCAACGCGATGTGCTCCTGCTTGGAGACGTTCTGGCCGTAGCCGCTGAATCCGCAAGAACAAATGCGGCCGCGCAGCGACGTTCGCGATCTCGGCCGCGAAGTCCCCCGGCGACGTCGGCGGATCTGCCAAGACAAAACTGATAATATCATTAGCAAGCGCGCGTGCTCAGATCGGCCTGGGGCCCCAGCCGGGGCGCGCGACTTCTCCGACTGAGCGCCCATTTGGCGCTCGCCATATCTCCGCGACCAAATTGCGCGTGGACACAATCCCGCCGAAGATCGGGCAGCAGATGGATCACCGATCGTGTTCCCCTGTGTGTATGTTAAACTGTGAGAGGGCCCTCCGAAAACTTCCAGTGAAATAATTGCGTTCTTGTGTCGTCGCTGGCAAAGCGGTTTGATCGCATCAAGTGAAAATGCGCGGTAGTGTCGAGCTGACCTCGAGGGGGGCTGCCGAAGGCACTCGACGTGTCCATGGGCGTCGTGGCGCGCGTCAAATGCTGCGCTGTGAGGCGCTGCGAAGTAACCGATGCCCCCGTGACATCGCCCTCTCTACGTCTGTGGCGATAGTGGCCGTGGTCGTGTGCAGCGGGAGAAAGTTTTCAGATGACCGAATAATGGGCTTCCCCAGCTGCCGCCATCGCGCGCGCCGCTCGCCGCCCTCGGGGGCCAACTTGATTTCTGTGGGCCTGCCCCTCCCGTCCTGCGCCAGCACTTGTTATGCATCCTGGTATTCGCTAATCCCACTTCCACCGTCCATCTGAATCCCAACGTCGGCGCGCCTAGCTCGCCGCCCCAGTCCACGCCCGCGTTGTTGGTTAATTTGGACACCCGAAATGGGCACCGAAAGAATGGGTACAATGCCCAACAACAAATGTTGTCCCAAACCAACAGCGGCCGCTGTCGGGCAGGCGGCCTTCTGTCTCGAATGGGCACAGGCCGCGGCGGCGTTAACAGCGAATCCTGTTCAGAATGAACAGGAACTGCTGTTGGGCATCGTACCCAGTCTTTCCGTGCCCATCTCGGGCGTCCAGAGTTAAGCGCTCTCTTCGGGAGGAAGCGCGCCAACCGCAGCTCGAGCGCGCTGAAACATCTGGAACTGCTCGTCGTTTCGCTGCATGCCGCGCCCATCGACTAACTCGATTCACACCTTCCTTACATCGCCCAGTGACTTCTTCATCCGGTTCCCATGCATGCAGCTGGCCGTCGCGTTCTGAACACCATTCCAGCAAATCTTGTGGCTGCGCCGCCATGCCACTGCGCGCGCCTTCTCGGGGCCGTGCCTCAAACCATGCCTCAGAAAACAATGGTGCCGATCTTGCAAGCAATCCGTCTAGGTCCGATACGCGTCCTCGCCGATCTCCTTGCCAATCTCAGCGCTTCCGCCTGTCTGGAATTATTCCACGCATCCGGCGCCGCCGACGCGAAGTGCGACGGTGGAGCTCGAGGTGCTTTGCGACGGAGAACGCGCTGCTCCTGCGAAATACGCCTCAACTCCTCATCAATCCGTCGGGCATCCTCCACCGAAGCCTCCATCTTCCCCTCGCGAAAGTCCGCTCGCTGGAAGAGTAGCCGCAGTCGTTCCCTGCACCTGTCGCCGAGGATCTCCACCCAGCGTCGCCGTGCTAAGTTGAGCTTGGCCCGCCCTCGTAATACAATCTTCCAGAAATTCAGCAATCTCATCAGGCGAGCCGTTGTCGCGCTTATAATGGTACGCTCCTCGGGAGTCAAATTCTTGCTGCACAGCTTCCGGAACATTCGCTTTACCAGCGCCTCTGAAAAAAAACCGCCATCATGTTGCCCCGGTCCCATCTCAAGCGTCCCTGAGCGTCTGGCGGTCCAATGACGTGCTGCGTATACCACATCGTACTCCATTGGAGCAGGATCCTGCGGGCACGGGACATGGAATGCCTGACATCGACATCCCAATCGCTGCAGAAGGTGTGCGTGCGCAGTGAGACTCTCCATGCCATTCAGAATGAACATATCATATACTCGGGACTGACGACCATCCTGACCATAGTAAGTCGCCACAATAGAGGTACCACGTGCTTTCGTAACCAACATATCCGGTGGTTCCAATAAGTCACGAAGCTGCTCAACTGATCCCTTCTTCAATCTCTCGGGATATGGGGCCTGCACGACCGAAAGCTCCATTGCATCCCCTCCTCCCGCTGGCAGGCCTGTGCCGTCATTGGCGTCGCAGCAGATCACGGGCGCATTCCTGCGCGGAGCCTTTGGAAGAAGATCGCGCAGCCACTCACTTAGAACTCGAACCGTACGCAAATGCTATGCCCGATGCTTGAGACGAAACGGCTTTGGAGGATAATGCATACTTATACCACGCAACTCACTTTTTCCCCGTTTGACTCGAGGTCCAAGACATCCTGCTTTGGCCGCTGGAGGGGAAGCCCATGTCTGAAAAATATAGTGTGTGTTTTGAAAGCCCTTGCCCAAGATGGCGGTGCAACCCGTACTCGAGTTACTCAAAGGAGCCGATGGGCCAAAGGGGGCTTCAATAAGCAAACGCCCCTGCACATGACGACGAATAACAACATTCCCTGAGAACTGCTGCCTTCGATCCACCGCCTGAATTCCAACCAACAAGATCATGTCAAAGTTAGAAGTCTCCACCACCACCTCCTCCAACCTGTCCCCCGTACACGACTGGGCGTTCCACCCCAGTCGACGGAGTTGTTGCTGCTGTGCCATCGCCGCCTTCAGAGGGGCCGAAACAACTGGGGCATGCTTGGCCCCTTCACGATGCACTGCAAAATAATCTCGCTTCACCCCGGAATTGTCGGCTCGATTGACAGGGGCTGGAAGAGGAGGAGGAGAAGGGAAACATGGGGGGCCAGGGGCAGGACGAGGAGGAGGACAAGGAAGAGGAATACGAAAACGTGGAAGAAGAGGGCGACGAGGAGGGTGAGGAGAAAAAGAACGAGGACGAGGATGAGGATGGGGACGACGAAGGAGGACGAGGAGAACGAGGAGGATGAGGAACAGGAGGAGGACGGAGATGAGGATGGGGAGCGATAGGAGGAGGATGAGGACGAAGACGAACACAGCGAAGACGACGACGGCCCGACGGCGACGGCGACAACGGCGAAGACGACGTCGACCAGCACCGCCACCGCGAGGTCGCCCGAGGCGACCGCGGCCACGCCGCCGTGGCCCTGACTGTCTGGACTTGGGACTACGTGCAAGGCTACGCCCGATGTGTGCTCGCCGTTTGGGCTAGCCGTGGGGCCCAAGCGGCGAGCTGTCCCGTGATTACGTGCGCGAGCTCACTTGCTGACTAATATTCGGAAACCATCGCTGATGCAGATCCTGTCATTTGGGAGTTCCTCCGCTCCGCTCTGAAGGGTGACCCCCGGAAGAGAGGAGAGGGCCCCCAGAGGCTTCCTAGAAAGGGTCCGAGTAGATGGGGCCTGAGCTCGCGCCGCATCGGCGATGCATCGGCGATGCATGAGCGGTGCACCGGCGATGCGTCGCCGACGTCGGCGATGCATCGGTGACGCCGGCGTGAAGCAAATCGGGCTCCACACCGAGCCGCATCGGCGATGCGGCGCGATCCTCCAAACTTATCTACTCCGACCATCTAGGAGGACCGGAGATGACGAACCAACAACACACACCCATACCGATAGGAGGGTCGGAGAGGGCTACGGGTGCGTGTTGTCAGATGGGGGTCCCCGCTCGAACAGGAGCGTTCCCAAGGGTCCGACAACCTGCACCCATACCCATAGCCAGTCCTCCTCCCGACGACCTCCCTCTGGGTATGGGTGTGTGTTGTTCGCTCGTCGGGAGATGTCTCCAGGCTTCCCCCGCGCGGTGCCGGTCCTGCAGCTCCGCCTTCCTGCCCACCTGCGCGCTCAGGTCGTCCACCACGGGGTCCAGGGCCAGCGTCCAGCGCTCCCGGAGGCCTCTGGTGGCCTGCGCGGGGGGGGGGGATGAGGGCTCTTTCGGCTGCTGTCATCGTGCTGCCAGGCAATCGAAACGCTGCCATAAGGAACCTCGAATCAGGAACGAGTGGAGGGGGAGCCCAAACCAGCAGAGCTAGCACGCCCTGGGAGGGTTCTCAAAGATTTCTGGGGGGGGACAAAAAAAACACCCCTCACGCAGATCTGCTAAGGGCTCTTTCGGCTGCAGTCACCGTGCTGCCAGGCAATCGAAACGCTGCCATAAGGAACCCCAAATCAGGAACGAGGCCCCATTAATCCATAAGCGCAAAGCGTTGAGTTCCCGTAGACAGCCTGAGCACAACCCAAGACAAACTTTACAAAAACACTAGAAGAATCCGCTGGCCCCCTTGCGGGGCCACCAGGCTGTAGGCCCGGAGTGTGCTGCTCCCTGTACCAGTTGCAGCTTCCAGTTTCCACTGTTACAATGCTGTTTCTTGCTGCTTACTGTTCCTTGTTGATGAATGCGCGAGGGGAGGGGGAGCCCAAACCAGCAGAACTACCACGCCCTGGAAGGGTTCTCAAAATTTCGGGGGGGGGGGTAAAATTAACACCCCTCAAGCAGATCCGCAGGGTCAGGGTCCAAAAACACATGGGATTTGCCACATTTTTGAAATTCGGTGGTACCCGTCACGCAGATCCGTAGGGTCAGGGTCCAAAAACATATGAGATTTGCTGCATGTCTGAAATTCGGTGGCACCTCTCACGCAGATCCGTAGGGTCAGGGTCCAAAAACACATGGGATTCACCACACTTCTGAAATTCGGTGGCGCTCCTTCGCACATCCGTAGGGTCAGGGTCCAAAAACATATGAGATTTGCTACATTTCAAGAATTCGGTGGCACCCCTCAAGCAGATCCGTAGGGTCAGAGTGTAAAAACACATGTGATCTGTCGCTTTTTTGAAATTAGGTGGCACCCCTCACGCAGATCCGTAGGGTCAGGGCCCAAAAAACATGTAGGATTTGCCACATTTTTGAAATTCGGTGGCACCCCTCACGCAGATCCGTAGGGTCAGGGTCCAAAAACAAATGGGATTTGCAAAAATTCTGAAATTCGGTGGCACCCCTCAAGGAGATCCGTAGGGTCAGGGTCTAAAAACACAAAGGATTTGCCACATTTCTGAAATTCGGTGGCATTCCTTGGCAGATCCGTAGGGTCAGGGTCCACAAACATATGGGATTTGCCACATTTCTGAAATTCGGTGGCACCCCTCGAGCAGATCCGTAGGGTCAGGGTCCAAAAACACAAGGAGGGATTTGTTACATTTTTGAAATTCGGTGGCACCCCTCACTCAGTTCTGCAGGGTCACGACGTCTTACCAACCGCCAGGTGTGGTGACCCCTGTTTTGATCATTTGGTTTTGCTCATTACGAGTCGGCCTCGAATGAAATTCTCATACTGCTTCACCACAGCGCCCAGGCCTCAGGACATACCTCTTGCATGCACAGCGCATTCTCCGAGAGAGGGGGCCGGCGGCAGGGGGCGAAGCCCTTACGGATAACAAACTGCACAATCATAAACCTTCGCTGGTCCGTACGGATTTCTTGGATCTGCGCTGACCCCCTCCCTGGCGCGCGGAGCGCGCCAGCGGCGCCGGAGGCGCCGCCAGGGGGGCCCAGCGCAGATCCAAGAAATCCGCGCGGAGCGCCAACAAATTATGTTTGTGCCGTTTGCTCTTTTCTTCGGCTGAGACAAACTGTCCTGTACTGTGGTATGCTCTAGCGGAGAGAGCGTCATTGCCGCTCTCCCCAAGCATCAACACTCATGCGAAGAAGCGCAGCGGGTCGAAGAGCCCCGACAACACCGGAGGGGCGGCGGCCACTACACGTCGCCCTTGCCCTTGAAAAAAAACACGGAACACCTCCCCAACGAAGGGGCTTCTGTGGACCGCGGCTGGCCTCGGCAACCGACATCGACGCCCCGACCTGGAACAGCAACAAAAACCGCCCGCGTACCGGGAGCCCCACCCGAGCGCAGGGTGGGCCTGATCTTTGGCGTCTTGACTGTGCAGACTACGTTTTCCCTGTCCACGGCATACCTTTTCCTGCACATCCACTTCGGCACCGCCTGCTCCCCGGGCCCCGCACGCTCCGGCCGCCTGAGGCCCCGCCTTCCTGTGCCCTGTCTCCCTAATTAAAGCTGTGCGTAGCCCGCCTAGCTTTTAGCGGAAGAGGTTCGCTCTCGTCCCGCAGATCAAAAAGACTGTGCAGACTACGTTTAGGCCAGGCATGTTCTCCTACAGGCGGATCTTGGAAGGTAAAGAAAGAAGAGCCACAACTTTTCAAGAGCAGTAGAAGCATCGTCCCCAGACTATTTTTGAAGACTCCTCCTGTAGAGGGACATGCCTGACTTAAGACTACGTGCACGTCGGTCGGAGGAGGTAGGTAAAAACATGACACAGGAAGGCGGATACAGTAGATTGGGTTCGGGTCCTCCCAGATGATAACAAGACACGGCACAAGCATATCGGTTCTTGAAGTAGGAAGGCGCTTGGGGTATAGTGGGGTCTGGGAATCACAAAATACCCACTTTCAAAGACTGGCATGCACGTATCACGTTGCAAATGCATGCGATGATTTGTTCAACACGGCCATGGCCTCCCCAGGGCACGCGTGCGGAGGGGCAGCCGTAGACTACCAGCTGCAACCAGCAGACGGACTCCTGCACTTCGCCCACGGCGCTGGGCGCTCGTGTCGGGGAGACATCGGGCTCGGGGGACGACGACGACGACGACGACGACGACCTCGACGACGACGGCGACCTCGACGACGACGACGACAACGACCTCGACGACGACGACGACCTCGACGACGACGACGATCTCGACTTCGACGATGCCAACCCAACCGCGGCAGCGCATGGCGAGACCCAATATGAAATTTGACGCGAGCTCCCGTCGCAAATTTCCCACAGAAGGAGGACCGTCCGAATCCAGGACGCGCTCGTCAGAAAAGGTCGGCAAATCCGAGTTCCGGCGAACTCGAGCCTTGCGTCTCCCCAATAGGAAGGATGCGACGAGATCCGCGCGCCGGCAGGGTCCATGCGACCATCGGGAAGAGGGGGGGGGGCAAGAGGAAGGTTGAGCAAGGGCCGACCGTCCTGGCAGTCCTGTAGGCTGTAGGCCTACCCCGGAATGTTCTCAGAACAAACGGGTGCTCGTTGAAAAAAAAATGCTCGTGGACCATGAAGCTGATAGGCCAGGACAAGACTGTCTCCGCCAGACATGCTCTACGGACATCTAAGGCAAATCGCAACAGGTTACGACACCATTCTTCCATGGGCCTACAGGGAAGTCAGGACGCTGCGCCACTGCCTGAAAGGAGGGACCCTTCGACCTCTGCTCCGCGGGCAGCCCAGGCAAGGGCGAGGCGGATGCGCAGACCCTGCAGCCTCTGCCCGACGCGCTGTCAGGGCCCACTCGGGACGGCCGCGCCCAGCCACGGAGGAGAGAGGAGGAGGAGGACGAGGAGCACGAGGCACGGAGGACGGAGGGAGGACCGACAGACCCTGACGGGACGGGGCGGGAGGGAGCAATGTGGCAAGACTTCGAGCTGCGCGCAGACAGCCCCCCCCACGTATTCCCAGCTGGCCTCAACAGTCGGGGAGACGCAAGGCTCGGGTTCGGGGAACTCGGGTTGGCTTGCCGGGGCCAGCATGAGCACGACGAGACCCTGTCTGAACTTCGACGCGCGCTCCCGCTGAGAACATCCCACAAACATTGGACCGTTGAAATCCAGGACGCGCTCGTCAAAAAGCGTCGGCAAACCCGCGCTCCGGTGTACTCGAGCCTTACGTCTCCCCGCAGCAGGCCCCCCGAGCAGTCCCAGCTGGCCTCAGCAGGCCCCCCGAGGAGTCCGGGGCGGCCTCGACACCCCAGCCACTGTCCCTGGGGGCTGCCCGGGCTCGGGCAAGCCTCGCACTCCGCGCCCAACTCCTCCTCCTCCTCCGCCTCCGCCTCCGCCTCCGCCTCTACCTCCTCCTCCTGTACCTGATCCTCCTCCAGCTCCTCCTCCTCTACTTACCTCCTCCTCCAGCTCCTCCTCCTCTAATTCCTCCTCCTCCTCCGCATTCTCCTCCGCCTCTACCTCCTCCTCTACCTCCTCCTCCTCCACCTCCTCCTCCACCTCCTCCGCCTCCTCCTCTACCTCCTCCTCTACATCCTCCTCCTCCTCCTCCTCCTCCTCCTCCCTCCTCCTCCTCCGCGGGAAGAGTGTGAGCGTGCTCTGCCGTCCACGGCCTCCTCTCTTCCCCCACCCGCGCCCCTCCCGCTCTTCCCGCCGTGCCCCATTCTTGTTGTCGCCCAGTTTCGTCCACTCCCCGTGCAGTTTTTCGGCTCCGTCCGTGCCTTTTCGCTCGCTCGGTGCTCCAGGATGCTCCTCGATGGTCCTCGCCGAGGAGAACTGCACACCTCCGAGCGATGCCAAGAGTTGGGCCCCGCAAGGCCCCCCGGCTGCCTCCGACCGCGGCGTGGATCCGCGCCGAGGCGACCCCCAGAAGAGTGCGCAGCGAGGGCGCGCCGCAGCCGGAGCAGTCGGTCATCGAGCACCCCGCGAGGCAGCGGCACGGTCCCCGCCGGCACACCCCGCTGCCCCACAGGAGCCCTCGCCTGGGCCCCCTCGTGCTCGCGCAGAGAGGCCGCCGCTCCTGCCCCCCCCCCGAGGGCGAGGAGGTGCGGGCGCAAGGCGCCTGCCGAGGCCAGCTGGGGCGACTCGGGGGGCGCGCGGGTCGGGGCCAGCCGGGGCTGCGATCTCGCATGGCGCGAGCGCCAGAGCCAGGAGTGCCGGCGCACAAGGCGCGGCGGGAGACTTGTGCAGGCGTGTCCGCAGCCGTCGTGCTCGCTCTGCGCCTCCTGCTTCATGTCATCCTGAACAGGCACGCGTGCGCGGATCCAATCCCGAGGACATCCACGAGGGCCCCGCACGAGGCGCACAGTGTCCCCGCGCAAGGCCTCCGCACAAGACTCGCGCGAGTGCCTTGTTGATTCAAAATCATACGTGGGGGGGGGCTGGCTGTCTGTCGACGAGGAGAGAGAAACATGAGCAACAGGTGGCAGGGGGGCGGAGGAGGAGCGACGGATGAACACAGACTTATTACGGAGGTCTGCGCGAACTGCCTCGATCGGCGCTGGGCCTTCCTGGCGCGCGAAGGCGACACCGCAAGCGCCGCCAGGGGGGGGTGGGGGCAAGCAGATCCGAAAAACCCGCGCGACCACTTCAAACGCCTACAGTCAAGCTGCTGTAATAAGGAATGCGAACCAATGAAGGAAGCCCCTTTTGGGCTCCTATTGAGCTTGGTGCCGCAGGAGGAGGAGGAGGAGGAGGACGATGCACCACCGAATGAACTAAGGAACAACGAGCCCCTTCCAAGCCCAAAGCGGTCCTCATTTCCGCGTCTTCGCCGCCCGCGCCTGGGGCGTGCGGGGCGGGTGCGTGGAGTGCCGTTCTGCCTGGCCTCCTTCCTGGGTCCACCTGCACTGACGATGATGATGCTGCTGCTGCTGATGATGATGATGATGATGATGATGATGATGATGATGATGATGATGATGATGATGATGCTGCTAATGATGATGATGATGCTGATGATGATGATGCTGATGATGATCCCGCTCTCCCAGGGGAGGCATCCGCCGACTCGCGGTCTCCCCCTCATGATGATGATGATCCTGGTGATGATAATGATGATGATCGTCGCCGTCATCACTACCATCGCCATCCTCGTCGTCGTAATCGTGGTCGTCGCTGTCATCAATGGTCGTCGATGTCGTCACCATCATCGCTGTCATTGCCCCCATCGTCTTTAGCACCAGTGTCGCCATCGCAGTCGAAATCATCAATATCACCATCGTCAACCATACTGCCATTATCATCTCGCCATCGCTCGGACGTCCATTGCACGTGCATTTTTCGATTTCGTGCGTTTATCTATTCCCAGGATCCAGGATGCTCCTCGATGGGCCTCCCCGAGGCACAACATTCACAGGTCCGAGCGATGCCATGTCACCGTCGTCGTCGCCATCGTCTGGAACAGGCCGCCTCCGCGATCAGCTGCTCTTTCCTGGCAGAGTGGCCCGGATGGATGATCGCCACGGGCACAGGCTGCGCTGGAGACCAGCTCTTTTGCTGTGCGCCACGGGAAGTGGGCAGGAGGCAGGAAAGCCGCGAATGGAATCGATGTCGGATCGGCGATTGAAAATGATTGGATCGGCGGAAATCGGCACCCAAATCGGGGGAAGTCGAATCGGCAGAAGTCGGCGGGCCAAGAAGGCCTCAGGCGAGACATCGGAATCCACATCGGAATCCGAGGTCAGACCGAATCGGCATCGGAGGCCATCGAACTCGAACCGAACGGGAGGATTCGAAGCGAGCCCTGGGAAGGCCAGGGCAGAGAAGGACGGGGGAGGGAGGCGAGCATGAGGGGGGAACGAAACGGGGAGACTGGATCAGGGGGGAAAGCATCGACCTGGAACCGGCGAATCGCTGACAGGCCCCCTGATAGCGACGCCACGCGGCCCTGGGCGGGGTGGGCCATCGGGCCCCTCGTCGGCAATCGGTGGGCAAGTAGGGGTCGATGCATCCCCCCTGAGCCTGCCCCCCCGCACGTTGCCCCTGAGGGAACGAGGCGCAATCTTTAAACCCCTCCTGAAGTGGCGCGCCGCTGGGCTCAAAGGAAACATCATGCTACACCCGGCCCCCCCGCGATGTACAGGTCGAAGCCTGCAGGGACTGCTTGCGCCTCAAGCCCAGGCATCTCGGAACTCAGAGTTGCGAGGGTGTCTCAGGCGAAAGTGGCGCTCCTGAGGGAAAGAGGGAACGCAGGGGAGGCGTCGCTGGGACGAGGGACTGGGGCGGGATCCCCCAACCCTGCCAGCGCGCAGTGCGCGCTGGCAGGGAAGGGGGATCCCGTCGCGCGTACATGCCATGCACGCGCGGCGCGCGCGCGGAATCGGAAATGCTGGAGGTTGGGAACGGTCGGGGCAGAGGAGGCGGAGAGGGGAGGAGGAACGGCAGGGGGGGACAAACACACAGAGCACAGACACACTTAATCGTCGATCCCCAGGAAAAGATGGGAAAGTATGGGAAGTGTGGGGGGGAAGACGAACATCCAGAAAATGTGAGAACATCTGGGGGATCCTGGGGTTTGTGTCTAAAAGGGGGGGGAGGTCGGGAACGATCGGATCAGGCGAGGCACCTCCCGGCGCCGCGCCCAGGTGGGAAGGCAGAGAGGGGGCAGTCCTTTTTCTCTGGAGGCGGAAAGCGTTCCAAGCCTCCTGCGAAGGCAGAGAGGCGAGGAGGAGGATGAGGAGGCTTCTCGGAAGGCCCGAGGGCTTCTGAGAGGCCCCGCCGCCTTCTGAGAAGGCCTGCCCCCTCGCTCGCCTCCCCCCGCGGCGTCGCCGCCGAGCCCTGCGGGAAGCGTGGGGGGGCGTGAGGAGGGAGGTAACCTGCTCGCTGGGGGCTGCGAGTGCGAGGGTGTACGACAATCGGGGAGACGTAAGACTCGGGTATGCGGTATACGGGGGGCTCGCTTTGGCCTGACGGGGTCATCGTGAACATGACGAGACCCGATCTGAAAATTGACTCGAGCTCCCGCTGCAAACATCCCACGATTTCTGGATTGTCAAAATCCAGGACGCGCTCGTCAAAAAGCGTCGGCAAACCCGAGGTCGTGCTTACTCGAGTCGTACGTTTCCCCGAGACAGGGGGGGGGGATGGAGCACCAGGAAACGAGGGTGGATCCTCGTTCCCCCGCACTCCCGCCCTCCTCGTCTGAAGCGTACGGCGACCTCGCCGAGAGGAACCGAAGCTTGCTCGAGATCCCTGCAGAGCGGCATCACCCCGCTGCTGAGCAGCTTTGACGCCTCCAGGCCCTCGCCTCCCGAGACGCTCCCTCCGCGCCAACGCCGCCTTCGTGCGCGCCGCCAGGGAGCGTCGGATCTGGGAGGCGGCCGGGGGGCCGCTTGTGGGACCCCTTCGAGAACATCGGCCAGGAGGGAGGAGTTGGCCAAATCCGTGCAGAATCGGCCCCTGGACCCCTCCCTCCCAGGACCCCTCCGGTGCAGCTTTTCGCCCCGGATCCGTCTCTGACGGCCCCCGGGGCCCGAGCACGGCCTCTGCATGGAAGCCGAGAAGAGCCCCAAGACCTCCCCGAACCCAGAGGCCAGAATCTGCCCGACTGCAGGCCCCAGGGCGGCTCGAAGCCGCAGCGCCGACACGGGAGCGTCTGGGCCGGGCCGGCCGGCGGCGGCGGCGGCAACGGCGCCCGCGAGCCTGCCCAGCGCCCCGCCGCCCTTCCCCCTGGGGACCTCTCGGGATCGGGCTCCGGGTTGTGAGCAAAGCTTGGCGGGTGAACAAAAACGCTGAACCTTCGCGAGCGAAGAGCGGTATTCAAAATCAACTTCGTCGCCGTCGGGGACGCCTGCCCCCCGGGCGGCTGGAAAGTTGATACCCCTACGTGGCGCCGTATGGGTACAAACTTCCCAGCCACCTGGGGGGCGGGCTTCCCCGACGGCGGAAACGTTTGTTGTGTGCCGCTCTTCGCCCGCTGAGAATGTACAACCTTGCCATCTCTGAGACCACCGATTTTTTACTTCTGCCGGGCTTCCGCCGGCGGGGGCGGCCTCGTGCTGCTTCCTCCAACCAACCACTGCGCCCAGGAACCTCCAGGGAAGGACGCTTCGGGAGGGGCCTAAGAAAAAAATCAACCGAACTCAGCGCGTTCTAAAACCTGTATTCCGAACGGAGGGCCCACTGACGGGTGCGCGTGCGGGCTCGGACGGAAATGCCGTCCCCCCACCTTCCGCCGCCGCCTTCCGCCGAGGATTACCAGCCTGGGACATATCCCTATCCCTATGCTGGGCATCTCCTCATCACGATGCCAATCTTAGGGATTCCCTTTTTTCTTGAGGGCGCATCCCTAAGATTGTCATCGCCTTTTGGCGTGTCGGTCTTAGGGATAGGGATCAGTTCAAGGCTGGAGAGAGGAGACATCAGCTCCCTCGATCCTCGAAGGCGAGGCTCCTCGAGTGCCCCACGCCTTCTGCCGGGTCCATGGCGCGTCCTTCCATGGGGGCCCCTCCCGCAGCAGTGCACGGCCAGAGGCCTGCAGGGGCTCGTGTGAGGAGGGGGCCTTTGGGGCGGGAGGGCGTGCTGGAGCACCGTCGTTGACGCACCCTGGGGCTACTCTGGCCCTCCTCTCCTCCTCCTCCTCCTCCTCCTCCTCCTCCTCCTCCTCCTCCTCCTCCTCCTCCTCCTCCTCCTCCTCCTCCTCCTCCTCTCCTCCTGCTCCCTCTTCGGAGGCAGCTCGCGGGAGCCATGCCGTACCCTCTTGTTGGTTGGCTCTTGCAATTGGACGCCGCTCGACGCTGCCTCGGCGCTGTCACCGACGACCAGGCGCCGATCTAACCTGCGCTCAGTGCACTCCGAAGGCGGAATCGAGAAGGTATACGCGGCTCCCATGATCTGCAACCGAATCCCTCCCTCCCTCCCTCTGGAGGCCAACAGCACATCATAAACCATGCACGCTCAAAGCTCTGCGCCGATCTATCTTAGGGCCGGCGCGAGGATTAGGTCAGGGCATGTCCTCCTACGGGCGGACTTTGGACAAACAATGAAACATATTCCAGAACTGCCCAAGGATACTGGCAGACGAAGAACGGTATATAATCAACTTTTCCGCCGCCTGGGACGCCTGCACCAGGGAGGCTGGACAGTGTATCCCCTTATGGTGGCACGTCGGTGTAGAATCTTTCCAGCCGCCGAGGGGCAGGCGTCCCCGACGGCGGAAACATATTTTTCTCGTGCTTCGCCGAAAAGAGTCGAACATTCGTCCCCAGACTTTTCTTGAACTTTTTTGAATGTCCCTCATGAAGAGTCGGGAGCGGCCAAGAGGGGGGTGTCCAAGAGGGGGGGTGCAAATCATGACCGGCGGCATGTGCGCGGCCCAGCGGGGGGGCCAGGGACGCAATGAAATCAGAAGAGGCGCCCTGAAATCTGGGGAAATATCATGGCCCCCGCCATGATATCCCCCCCCCTGGTCATCCCCCCCCTCTTTCCCGCCCCCGAGCAGAGACATGCCCGGCGGAAAACATACTTTTTCTCGCTCCTCGCCGAAAAGAGTCGAACATTCGTCCCCAGATTTTTTTTGTTCAGAATGTCCCTCCTGCAGAGGTCGGGGATCTTCTGACCCCGGTCAATCCAGACCCGGGTCAGCAGGAAACCAAAAACTGCAGTGCACGAAACAAAAACTGCAGCGCAGGGCTTCGCAAACCCGGATCAGCCAATGTGCGCGGCCGCCTCGCGGCCACGAGCGGCTCGCCAACCCGGGTCAGCCAGAGGGGGCCTTCGCAGGATCCTGCAGGATCCGGCGCCCTGGCTGACCCCCGTCTGCATGGACCCCCGCCTCGAGGCTCCCGCAGAGGGACATGCCCGGCTCCACGCCGGGACCCTCCCTCCAGGCGCGCAGGCCGATGCCAAGGCTTGGGGAGGGGGGGGGGGCACCGCGGCGGGCCCGAGAACGGGGAGCTCGCGCTGGCCACATGGGGGCCACTCCTGCGCGCCGCTGGCCCGCGCGCGCCCCGACCCCCGTGGCCGAGCGGGAGGGCCCTCAGGGGAGCGAGCACTGACGCAAGCGTAAACACTCGGAGGTCCGCGCGGACTTCTCGGATCGGCGCGCTGGACCGCCCTGGCGGCGCCTCCGGCGCCGCCCCTGGCGCGCTTCGCGCGCCAGGGAGGGGGGTCCAGCGCCTATCCGAGAAGTCCGCGCGGACCTCCGAGTTTTTATGTTTATGTCATGGCTCGTTCCCCTAAAGCGCAGCTGATGGAAACCGCCCTGGGCCCCCGACGACTTCAGGAAGCGTCGAGTCGCCTCCGAAGACTGCGGCAAACACCCGGCAAAAACTGGAGAGAACATCCCAGGCTGGAATTCTTACGGAAGGAGAAAGGACAACGATGACCACAACCAAGACTGAGCGCGGAGATATCTGTGCCGATCTTGGTCATTGTCCATCGTGGCCATCGGCAGTTCGTGGAGCATCCGCGCAAATCGGCGATGGCAGGCGAGGACCACAACCAGGATCGGCATCGGACATTTCCCGCGACATACTGGTCATGGCCATAATGATTTATCGTGCTTGTTGCCTCGATCTCATGAAGTCTTTCTCGGAACCATCCGAAAGCCTCCTCCCCCAGGCCCTGGCGCCACCCCTCCTGTCCACCTCGCCCGCCCCACCACCCTCCGAGGTGGGGACTTATCCACAACCGCCGCCAACGCCTGGGGGATCAACCCTCCAGGACCTCGGCAAGCAGTAGCGGATATGGACACGTACGGCAAGTTCGCGTCGTGTCGACCCTGGCGTTGGTTCCTGACACCGCGGGGATCGTTGAAGGGGCCCCAGGACACACAAATAAATACACACAAATAAACATATTCCTTTCCCATATTTTCTGGGTTTCTGTCTTCGCCCCCACTTCCCATATTTTCCCATATTTTCCGGGTAATCGACGATTAATTGTGTCTGTGTGTTTCTTCCCCTCCTGAATCGTTCAATCTTGAACGACCCGCCGTTTCCGAAACGCTGGATCGTTCAACATCGACCGACTCTGGGTGGCCGGCGGCGTCCCACGGTGAACGCTGGCGGCGGGGCCGGCGCTGGTCGACACGTCGCGAATCCACCGTACTCGGGCCACTTTTTTCCTCGCGGCCTCGAGCGAAAGCGCAGGAGGCGTCCGAAAAGGTCGGGCGGGCTACGCGCGAGCCTAATTATACAGCGACCGAGCGCGGGATCATTTCTTTTTTTTACTCGGGCCACGCGGAGGGTGCTAAACATATCCGCCACAGTCCACCGCCTGCCGAGGTCCCAGAAGACCGATCCCACGGGCGGCGGTTGTGGACATCGGCGGTTCAGAGAAGTGGCCCCGAGGGATGGGGCCCTTCAGACGGGAGACCGGTCACAAGTTGAACCTTCACTGTTTGACGCTCTCATCCTTGTGGCCCCATGCCTCAAGGCCCCACATACTTGAGCCGCCGAAGATACATGCCCGCCTCGCCAGCCCCCCCCCTCTCGGGCGCACCTGCGGGCGCTGGGGCGGGCCTGGTGGGCTGCGGCTGCGGGCTGAGGCCCAGCGCCTCCGCCGCTGGCTGCTCGTCATCGTCGCTGGCTGCGCTTTGTCGTCGTCGTAGTCATCGTCGTCGTCGTCGTCGCCCCCTCTCCCTCCCGCCACGTCCGCTCCTCCTCCGAACAGCCAGGACCCCCAACAAAAGCGAACTGCAAGGGCCGCAAGCAAACCTCCGAGGGCCACCAGCACATCTACGAGGATCACCTGTTGAAATACCTGGCTAAAAAACTGAGCAACGACCGCAGCGAACAGAGCCAACGGGTCAGCTACGAGGACCACCGGAGGAGCGACGAGGGAAACCACCTGACCCTCGAACACCACCAGCATAATTTGCCGGACTACAACAACAACCCGAAGCACCTGAACACGCATGACTACGACAAGGGGTGCCAACCCCAGTTCTCGGGCTTAGAGGTCAGAAGCGCCACAGTGGTCTCGAGGGGATTCTGGGCGCGTGGGATACCACCACGGAACGCTGGACATTCAGACCGGGATCGATGGCCATCAGCGAAAAGATAGGAGTGTCGAATGTCATCCAGCATCGACCCCAATTCGTTCGGAACCGTCTCAACCCCGACCCCTGACGGACGTGTTGGGGGGGGGCCACGACCCCGTGGGCCAGGGGCACGCTCCAGAAACGCGTTCTTCGAAAAAGGAGGGCGGAGAGGAAATGGATGAGTAGAGAGGATGAGGGAGGGAAAGGAGGGCGAGGGAGGTAGTGCAAGCTAGGTGCGCTCCGCCACATCTTGTTTATCCTACCCCTCCCTCCCATCTCAAGTTTCGTTTTTCGCCGAGCGGGTGTCGAATCGGACCTGCGTGGCATCTGCGGCCTTTGCCCTGCCGCTCATTGTGCCCTCGGAGGCCAGCCGACGGAACCTCTAGGAGGCGGCCCAATGGAGGCCCCCAGACCCCCAGACTCAAGGGTGCGGGCGGCGTCACGCCGACAGGCGTCCCCAACATTACGAAAAATCCCCGCTGGGAGAAGGAAGCGAGACACCAGCGGCGGCCTGTGCAGGGGCAGGCGCAGGGAGGGGAAGGGGAGGGGCGGGTGGGAAGGACAGGGTGGGAAGCGAAAGTGAGAGAGAGAGAGAGAGGAAGAGTGAGAGAGAAAATCTCGAGAAATGGCGTCTCGGCGGTGGCATGGCATCGGGCCCTGACACAGCATGTGTTTAGTCCACCGCGCGGAAGGCTCCTCGAGGCATGTTAAAACAATCCGATATCCATAAATCCATAAGCGTCAAGCAACCTTATATAAACAATCCCCGGGGCGGTTAGGAGCCGGTTTCTGCCGAACATGTAAACTTGCAAACCAAGCCGGTACGATTGCGAGTGGACACGCACGGACATTAACAGTCGTTGATTTATTAGGTATCATCCCGTTAGTCGTCGCCCAGGGGATGCGACGAGTCACCTTCTAAGAGGCTGTAAGAGGAGACTCGAGGACCGCTGAACTGATATACGAGAGAGGCGATGTGCTGCGCGTTTGCGCACCACCACCCGCGAAGCGTGAGTGAACGCTGGCCCCGCGTGAGACGGGCAAGACCAACGCCAATCTGTTATGAGGCCCGCGGTGCAGCATTGCTGCACTATCTACTTCATGGGGTATTTTATCCATCCTCCACCCTTCCATCCATGGTGCTCCCCTCTCGTCCCCCCCCTCTTCATCGTGCTGTTATTGCTGCTAGTGTGTTGCTCAACAATTGCTGCTCCATCTTGTTATACTCGTCGTTGCAACTTGTTTGTCCTTGCTCGTGCCTTCCTATTCCGCCGGTCGCTCTTCCTCCTCCTCATCATCATCATCCTCGCCCTCCTCATCCTCATTTCCCCTCTGGAGTGAACTAAGCATCGCAGCGTCTACTGACACCTCGCCCTCCTCCCTCTCCTCGTCGTCCTCCTCGTCCCATTCCTCCTCCTCCTCCTCCTCCTCCTCCTGCTCGCCCCATTCCTGATCCTCCTTGCCGCCCCACTCCTCGTCCTCCACTCCTTCCCCCTCCTCCCTCGTCGCTTCTCCTCGCTGCTGCGCGATTGCCCCCCCGCGGGGGGGGTCAGAAGCCGAGGCCAGCCGCTGGCGCTCCGCTGCTGCTCGCCGCGCTGTCTGGCGGCTCGCGGCTCACAGCCGACGAAGCCACTGGCGCGCATGACCGCGCGGGCATTGGCGCCCTGCTTCTCCCCCTCGACCTGCCGGGCGTTCGGCCAGACGTTGCAGAACAGCAGCGCGTATATCTCCGCCGCTGGAATGACGGGGGCCTGCGTCGTGTTCCCCGCCAGCTTCATCGTGCCCAGCCTCTTGCGCTTGGGCTTCTCCTGCTCGCGGGGGTCGCGCACGAAAGAGCATGCGCGGAAGCTGGCCCCCTTCGGGCGGCTGAGCGCTGGCCGCATCGGGAACCCCTGCGCCAGCAAGAGCCCGGAGGGCGTCAACCAAACGATGCGGCATACCGGTGTTGAAGTGGAGGCTGGGGTTCCTCGCGATGCTGCGCAGCACCTGCGCGGTAGCCTGGTGGCCCCGGCCTGCGGCGACCATCTGGATCAGCGAGCAGACGCAGCCAGTCTGGTACATGGGGGAACCCGAAGTGAAAGGGCAATCAGGCACTTGCCACTGTCGCCACTGGCTGACCCGATGAAGATAAACGTATATCTGGTGTTGCGTACAATCGCGTCAGCTGTGGCCGCACTTAGCAAGTGCATACAGCGCCCCATACACTTGGGCACCTCTGCTCGTAGTTCTCCAGATTCTGCAGCTCGTTGGGCGTCAGCGTGCTGCGGAAGCAGAGCGGATTGATCCTCTCGGCCTCGCGAATGGGGCTGCAGTGCTCAATCACCTGCTTGCGACTGCGCGCCCACTCCCACTCCGCCTTCAGCTCCTCGGGAAACGCCTCCTGCGCGCAGATGAAGTGCTTGAAGGTAGTCAGGCACTCGCGGGCGAATAACGGCATCATGACAGACTGCGTGGTGGCCGTCAACTCGGGGCTCAGGTCCGCGCTGAGCAAGACAGCGTAGAAAATAGACCTCATGCCTGGCCAGCCGAACATCGCCCCATCCAAAACCATCGATTGGCCGATGTACTCGGGGGCGTAGACGTCCTGGACGACGTTCTTCGGCAGCTGGCTGCTGTTCTCCAGGATCACGACCTTCGGGGGGCTCCATAGCGCTCAGCATCGACACCGACATCCCGGCGTATGCGATAACATCTTTGCTCGCCGCCTTCTCCAGTTTGCCAGGGGCGGCGTAGGGTGCGCAAGAGAAGCCCGCGATGTGGATGTCCGAGGTGGGCACTGGGTGGGCGTTTTTGCAGATCGTGCAACTCTGCATCGCCTGGAACCCCTTCTTACTCTTGATGACCTCCATCATCGACTCGAAACTCACGATCTTGCCCTTCTTGATGAGCTCGTGGGCAGCAGGGGCCGCCTTGAACATGTCCTCGTAGTTCTCGAACGTGCACTTTTGTGGGTTTGGCGATCGTGCCAGCTCTCTGCGGCGTCCAGCGTTACTCTCCACTGCGTAAACGATGTTCGGCTTGCAAGACCCCATCTCCCTGCCCAGCCTCTGCTCGAGCGCCCCAGCCAACAGCGTCCAGGCCGTTCCCGGCGCGTCTCTACCTGCGTAGCCGAGGCTCACGCGGAGCCCGTTCACGCTGTCGAAGAGCGTCTGCTCGATCCCGCCGCCGCCGCCGCACGCGCTGCGGAACGGGGGGAACTCGCCGCGCCTCACGTCGTAGTTCGCCTTCAGGGAGTCCAGGTAGTCATCTGTGAAGGCGCACAGGTCAACCAGGCTCCTGGTCTTCATCTTGTTGAGGACAGGCATCTTGAAAGTCTGATGAGCGGGTGTGGCTGGGGGCAGGGCGCGCATCCCGTCAGGCGCGCGCTCCGCTCGGGGGGCGCGCTCGAGTTCGGGATCGGCCGCCGCCCCACGCCTCAGCCTCGCGAGTCGGCCGCCCGACTTGGCCATCCTCACTCGGGCTTGCAAGCTCGCTGCATGGGCCCTCGTCAGGGGCGACGGCGCATCGGGATCCTTCTTCTCTGGCGGAGCTGCGGGCGGTGGACCCGCCGCTGCCAGTGAGCCTTCCGGCCGCGGCGGCGCCAATCACCGGCGCCAGTCGCCGGCGGCGGGTCGGCGGTCTCTAAGCGCGCGCTGGTCACGATGACGGTCGCGATGTCCTTGTCGGCCTTCTGGATCTTCTCCTTCTCCTCAGCCTCAGCCCCCTCAGAACGAACGTTGCTGCGCTGCTGCCCCCGCCGCCCGCCCCCCCCAAAAAGGGAGGGGCGAGGAGTCGAGGGGGGAGTGGGGATGTAGGAGGTCGGTTACATATCCCATCCTCGGCGCCGGCGCGGAGAGCGTTCACCTGCGCTGGCGCGGGCGCTGCCGGCCCTGGCAGCTGCCAGTCGCCCGCGCCGCCGCCGCCGCTGCCAGCAGGGGGGCCCTTGGTCAACTGCAAAAGCGGGTAGTCGAATGTGTCGCCCATCTCGAAGGTGACCCAGACCTGCGAGGCTGTCAAGACAAGGAGCTTGATCTGGACAGGAAAGGGGGGCTGCTGCTACATTGCTGACCAGGGCCCTTCAAGCTCTCTGAGGGTTGGGCCAGGATCCTGAAGGGCCAGGGCCAGGGCTGGGGGCTTAGGGGGCTTAGGCTCGGGCTTCGGAGACAGGCGACAGGCCAGGGGCTCCAGGCCCAGGCAGGTCAAGGAAGAGGAGGATCATATGTCCCCTCCAAGGAAGCAGCTTTTATCTTCACAAGTCTCTCAGCGAAAAGGTTAATATACATATAATGCAGCATCGGCGAGCCCTGCGGACCGAGCGGACCGAACGCTGGCTTAAACACAATGCTGTTTATGTGTGTTAGTGCTTTGGTTTTTGAAACACAGTCGACGGTAGACGTCGGGGCGCTGACTGCACTCCTCTGAACGTTTTGAATGGCCCCTGGCTCAACCGCGTTTGTTTCAAAAATTGCTGTCTTGCAAACTCATCAACTCACAATCCTCATTCAGATCAGACCCCCTGTTTAACTGTTACCGTC